GGTTGTATCCTTCCCACGATGCACTGCAGGTCACAGCATTGTTGGGAGTTGTTGCTTCCGTTTGCACACCGCTGCCAACACGCACGCAACAAATCCCAACAATGTTGGGAGTTGTTGCGTTCGTTTGCACGCAGCCTTAAATGTTAAATCATTTGTTTGGGAGAAAACTTTACATTGAAGATACACGTACGATATTACCAAATCAAAATGGGGGAAATTGGGTGATTTTACATCAATGTTTCATTCTTTTTCTTTAAGATTCATGTTGCGAACAAAAATAAAGGTAGTTAGCCTTCGATCTTTCCACGGCATCCACAACTTCTCGACTCAAATGTAAGTACGCTTCATGTTCCAATTATACTTGTAGTTGTATATCACAACATTATCTGACTCCAAATTGAAAAAAAAAATTGAAACAGGAAGGAAAAAAGCGCTTGTTAACAGTTAAGTCTGGCCTTTTCCGCGATCTCAGTTAAGACTGATTTCCACTGACGCATGTTTGGCAGCGCACGTTAACGCAGTCATAAAATAGGACAAAATAAAGAGTGCTGAGCTTAAGGTGGCTCGACCCAGTATTTTTATAGGCACACCCTCCATCTTTAATTCTCTTATACTTAAATAAATCTATCTGTATTGTAAAACGATTATAACACATGGATTACACTTGGATTAAACTTCATTATGGTATAGTTTTTCGGAGGTTAGGAATAAATGTCACGTGGCAATGACCTCACAATAGCTTTAGCTATGAATCGAATTTCAGCCCTGTTGGGCATTTTCTTTTGAAATGCTTTACGCTACGTATTCTTTGGATAAACGTCTTCTGTTGCACGAAGTTTCACAAAAATCTATAAGAGGAATTGCGAGATATCTTGGGATTTCTATAAAAAGGGCATACATTATGCATGCGCTGAAGACTGGACTTAATGCAGACAAATTTGCCACTTTTTGGATTTTTCCGAAAAGGTTTAATCACTCATTCGTTTTGCGAATGATCCTTACATACTCTAGAAGCCACTGAACTCAAGTAGACTTGCGCGATTTCGAAACACATGAAAACGTATGCTAATAATAATAATTTAATTTAATAATTTAATATTTATATTGCGCAAAATACATGTAAATATGATCAAACGTAAAGCATTTCAAAAGAAAATGCCCAACAGGGCTTAAATTCGATTTATAGCTAAAACCATTGTGACGTCATTGCCACGTGACATTTATTCCGATTGCCAAAAAAAATTATACCGTAATAAAGTTTAGTTTAAGTGTAATCCATTTATCATAATCGTTTTACAATACAGATAGAATTGTTCAAGCATAAGAGATTTAAAGAGGGAGGGTGTGCCTATAAAAATACTGGGTTGAGCCACCTTAAAGGGACTGGTTCACGATAATGCGCATGCGCGCCGTTTGTCTCTTCAGAATAAATTTGTTGGGTCAACACTAAATTCGAAATCGCCATTACCGGTACAATCATTGAAAATCCTTCGTTTTATTCGGACATCCGTTGCTTTGGCTGGTCTAGTTATACTTCGGTAGTTGTGATTAGCGTGTGGTTGTGTTGTTTGACCGGTTACGTTTTAAGAAGACGCAAAAAATAATGTTTTGATCATGGAGGTTCAGAAGAGCATCGTGGCCGTCCGGCAACAGGACGTTCTCAAGAGTCTTTGGAGATAGAGAAGCTTAGCCGATCGAACTGGTATGGTTCTAGGAGTAGTGCTTGGCTTACGAAAAGAATACACGACACTTGGAAAGTGGTTAAAGGCATGAGTTCGTTCAACTTTGATTTGATTTTGACTCCGACCTGTAATTATTCCGCAACAGGCCGCGCGATCTTCACCGATCTGGTATACTTGAAATGTTCCTTGTATCTTTGCTTTACGATCGTATATGTTTAAGAATTGATGTTTTTAAAATAAATTATTGCCTGAATATTCTGTTTATAATCTAGTTTCTTTATGTGTTCTACTCGATAACATTTGTTTTGCGGAACAGTACTGGCCCGATCCAACGCGAATGAATTTGTTCATTTGCTGATAAGCACTTAAAATTTATGCTCAATTAAGGATAATCTTTATACTCATACGTTGTGTGTTTTTGTCACCGGTCAGGCGCTAATGGTAGGTATTTCTGGGTTTATATAAGCGAACTGAGAGAACAGTAATAAGATGTTTGTTTACAAATTTTGTTTGCCGATCGGTGACTGCTTTGTTAGCGTGGGTACGACCTCGTAAAAATACACGTTGGTAAATGTTTGTTTCAAAGCAGGACAGGGCTGTAAATGTTATTCTTATCGGCTGCAACATATATCTGAGGAGTAGCAAAGAATAAACTTGAATTATGCAGATAAATAAATTCAAACCAAATGCCCGAAAATACTCTCGCGTCTCGAACAATTAATTGGAATTTTTTTAATTTACCTGCGTGCATCTAACTCGCTTCCGACTGGTTTAAAAACAATCAGCTACTGTCAGAACTCACACATGCGCATTATCGTGAACCAGTCCCTTTAAACGAGAAGTTGAGCGAGGTTCAACTTTTACGCTTACGGGAGACCTTTCATGCATTGCCACCATTTTATTTGCGAGCGTAATAGTCCGTGGGCCAGAAAGTGACCGCCCCCCCCCCCCTCGGGGATTTTTGCAGACATGTGTCATTTCAAAGCTTCACCCAAGGGTATTTGAAAAATGCATGTTTACACTTGATTGGTTGGTGGGTGTGGCTGTGCAGCAACATTCTTTTCCTCAGCAAAGAGTCACAGGTTACCCACACCGAGAGGTGAGTTAATCTCTTCAGAAAAACACCATTACCGAAAAAAATAACACCGAAAGTAATTTAAGGTAAAGTTTTTTAAACCTCATTTGTAAGTTAAAATTCTCTACTTTACTCTTAATCTCCAAAAACTACTACTATGCATGTGACAAGTTTAATTTAGCCTTTACTTGGGTACGTAACTAACACCTCTTACGAGAGTTCTAATAGAAAAACTCTCTCTAAAATGTCTAACCTACGTGAAATTTTGGTAGTTACTGGCCAGTGAGAATGTATTAGCTACTAAATGATGACCAATTCCTAGTTTGCTGTTTATGCGATATTTGCAAGCCGAAGAGACGTCAACAGCGCTTTGTAAGGTCCTCTAAAGTAAAGCACGATAATTTTTCCACAGCACTGCATTTAATTATTTTGTTCAAGCTTTTTATGGTACATTAGTTGTAACAAAAAAAACTTGTTAATCATTTCGTGCATTTATTTCATGACGCATATCATATTTCTCTATTTGATATCCCATGAGACACAGTTCACCTTTTTTCCCATTCCACAATCCTTTGAGACTCAGATTCAGAAGAATTCAGTGATGTAATTGTACGTATGAGTAGTTTTCATCTTAGCTGCGCATTCACGGGTGCCCTTGGAAAGAAAATGAGATGTAGTGGTTTTTTTTTTGGTAGTCCGCATCGATCAGGGATCTGTGCAGGTCGATCGATAGAGCAAGTTTCGACAGGCAAACATTATAACCATGCCCTTCTTGTGTACAGGTTGTCTACGAAGCTTTGGAACGAATTCTTCTTCAGGTCTACGAGTCGTTGCATGGTCTTTTTGATAAGCAAGGGGTTACAACATTAGACCATCTAGTAAGATGTTCGCAGATATTGAAGAGTGAGCAAGACACGTTTTGCGTCATGGAAGCGATGAATAATTTTATTAATCCTTGCACAACTGAAGATAAGGACATGTTGTATTGTCTGTCATCCGGTGCTCCCATACCCTCGAATGTGGAGAATGACATTTTAATGTCTGATGAAATCTCCAAGAATATCCACAAGCAGTTCGTTCAGGACAGGATTATAGACAAAACCCTCAGCTTTCACGTGCCAGTGAAAAAGCAAAATCTAACAAACTTTTGCAAATCAAGCTAAAACCTCACTAGTCCAAGGGAAGGCAAGAACGAACATAGAAATAACTGCAGAAAGAAACGTTTTGGGGCAACTTGTTATACTGGCACTGCAGCGTGAGCTTAGCCTTGAACGCGCACTAAGGGCGCTTTCCAAAAGTCAGAACTGGCTGGCCTGACCATGGCCAGACCAGACATTTTGGCAATGAAATAGGCTTTTTCCAAGAGGCTTTGTTGAAAAACTGTTACGCGGGTAACCTTTTAGAGGACGGGTAGCTTGCAAACCAAACTGAACGCAGGGTTGTCGGAACAGCAACAAGAAGATTTATTCCAAAAATGAACGTAGTTTCCACGAAGTAGAACTCCACAACAGTACATAACTCGATAAACTTACACGGCCTCCGCCAACTTGAATAAACACTACTTTCGTCACACTTGACTAGACACGACTAACGTCGAACTCTGCTCGCTTGTGGAACTAGTTCAAACTTAACTCGGGCTAGCCTACTTATATACGATTACAATAAGATTCTAGAACTTTCTAACTAGTCTAATTATAGCAAGATTACAAAATATACGGCTTTTAGAAACGCTTACACAAGATCCTAAAATAAACAAGCCATGAACTCTCGCGAACCTTCTAGAGAGTCACGCGAGTCACGCAATACAATTTTTCGTAACAAAAACCATCTCCTCTGGATAATATTTAGGATTTGACTGATGTGGATAGTAAGGTTTGATTAAAAGTAAAATTCTCATTGCGATGGGAATGGGCCGGCAGGTCAGTTCTGACAAATAAAAAGCGCCCTAAGCTACCCGCTTGGTCCTGTTCCTTGGGCACTGGCAACTTAGGATGGAGCAGTGATAAAAACTGACAAAGCTAAACTAATGCATTGCCTGGAGGACAAATCGCATCTGGCCGAGAGACCCACTGTGCGATTTCAATGCTACATAGTACACAGATATGCTTTCTTCACAAGCACATCTAGTGACCATCCACTAAAGTTCCTCATGATTGAAAAAGTTCTTGTGTAATGAAGAAAACAGAAGCCGCTTGTGCAGCTTCCTCTTAGAGGAGAGGAAAAAGGGAAAATATGCTCCGAATATGCAGGGAAAACATTTAGTTTTCGTCACTGAGAGGGAATGCATCAGCTTAAAAAGTATCGATGGAAAGAATGTAGTTACAGAGGAAGTTGAGAAGTTGTGCTCTTCACATGAGGAGGCCGATGCCAGAATAATCTTGCATTGTAACGATGTTGCCCCCAATTCACCAGAAAGCTCGGTTATACTAGTGAGATCCCCTGATACCGACTTGTTCATTTTACTTCTAAGATTTGTACGTCATATAAACCAGACAGCGGAACGGGTGACAAGCGCCGACTTGTAAATATTCAGGCTGTTGCTAAGGATCTCGGAGGTGAGATTAACCTGGCTCTTGTAGCTCTGCACCCATTTACTGGTTGCGATACGACCAGTGCTTTTGTGAGAAGAGGGAAAGTAAAGCCACTCACATTCCTCAAAAAAACATCCTGAGTTTCTTCCAGCGTTTCATGGTTTAGGATCGAGAGTTCACATAGAAGACAGAGTATTTAAAGATCTTGAAAAGTTTACATATCTGATGTACGGAAGCAAGTTGGGCGACATCAACTCTCTCAGATACGAAAAATTTATTGAGAGATTCAGTGCAAAGCCAGAAGAGGTACTGACAAGCTACAACGGTGTTGAAATGAGTCTTCTTCCACCTTGTCGAGAGAGTCTGAAAATGCATGTGAGAAGAGCAAATTATCAACCGCTCATATGGAAGAAAACTTATCAGGCAACACCAAATATCCCAGGACCAGACGGACATGGCTGGAACACTAATGTCGAAGGTGAGCTTGAAATCTGCTGGACGAACTGCAATCTCATGCCTCAGGAACTCGCAGACATCATAACCGGCACTTTGAGTCCATCTCTGAAGATGAAGAAGATGTTACTGTCGATTACGAAGATATTGGCGATGTTGTTTTAGAAAATGACTTTTGATAAACTTGTTCAAAGAGAAAATGTGGCTCTACAGGGGGCTTTTCGTGTACTGAACATGAAACCTGAAATAAAGTGAGGGACATCACTGCCCAGTTATGCTTAAATCTAACACGCATCTGCTAAATTAATGAAGGGGATTAAATTTGCAAAAGGTTTATACACAAAGATTTTTACAGTTGTTAAAGTGCTCCATGGCTATTGTCCACTATTTTACATATATTCCTCTTTACCTTGTGATATGCGCAGTAGTAGTTTTTGGAGCTTAAGAGTAACGTAGAGAAATTAACTTACATATGAGATTGAAAAAACTTTACCTTAAATAACTTTGAGTGTTATTTTTGTCGGTAATGGTGTTTCAGAAGAAGTTAACTCACCTCTTGGTGTGAGTAGCCTGTGACTCTTTGCTGAGGAAAAGAATATTGCTGCACAGCCACACCCACCAACCAATCAAGTGCAAACATGCATTTTTCAAATACCCTTGGGTGAACCTTAGAAATGATAAATGTTTGCAAAAATCCCCAAGGGGGTGGGGGGAGGGTTTCACTTTCTGGCCCACGGACTATAAGCTTTACGCACGTACGCACGTAAAAATTACGTGACACTGGAAATCAACCCTTCGTCGAAACGAGCGAAAAGAAAGTAGAAACTTGATGGCAAAGGTGGAAATTGAGAGCCAGGAAGGGAAGGCGGCATTTTTTTGTCACGCTGCATCTTTTCTTCATCTGTCACCACTAAATGACGGGTGGAAGCAACTCAAATATCTCGTCTTTTTTTTAACAAATGTGATGAGTCAAGAGCCATAATGGAATGAGTTTAACACTGCGATGTAGCAAATATTTACTCAAGCAAATTTGCAGTTGCTCTTTTGTCAAAAACTACTATACTATCAAGCGAAGTAGTTCAAAAAAGGTTAATCTTTTGACTTCCTGTACAAAAAATTAAAGAATGCCTGTAGTTTTCCTGCTACCTAGACTCACCAAGGAAAACGGTTGATTTTCCTACTTCATCGATGGTGCACAAGGACGATCCATGTGCTACGAAAACTTGCTTTGTGTTTTTCCCCTTTTTCTTGCTGTTTTGCCGTTTTCTCCCGTCAAATGCAATACAATTGAATAGTATATTTTCAAAAATTACTTAAAACGAGTGCTTTTCTGTGAAATTCGCCTTTTCCCTTAATATTGCTTCGGTCCAGATTTAAGAGGAAATTTGCAGAATACAATAGCTTTCGCGGATTCACAAACAGAAACCAAAACTGTAAAAGCTTGGATAGCAGTTCCACCAGGACCCGATTGTATCATATGCAGATTTCTTTCCGTACGTTTGTCAACCTAGTGATTCTTATCACCTCTCTACCGCTCTTTTTCAATAGAAGTTTGGAAGAAGGAAAAATGAGTTATATGGCAATTCGGGATGCAAGATTCAACCACACAGTTTTTCTGTGAGTTAATTACTATCAATAATAACAAAGACATCAGAAACTTGTATATTTGCAACTACGACGGCGACTTCATGGACGAAAACGGCAAAAAATCAATAGGTTTAGGTTAACAAAACAACAACTTTGCACGTTCATCGCACTTTTTTGTACATTTCTTTGCCGTCACTACATAACTACGACGTGAATATGCCTAATTTCACGTTTTGTGGAGAACGTGAACACAAGACAACAACTTTATTTCTCTTTTTCTGATAAAGTTTGAAACAGCGCGACTTCACTTTTTAAGTGACGTTTTCGTAGTCGTCTCCGTCGTTGTTGCTTAAGTCGGTCAACCTGCCACTAATTGCAAGAGAAGGCTTTTTAACGGTTTTTGGTCCAGGAATATGTCCTCTATAACACAGCAGATGTCCCCGAAAACCCGAGTAGGGGAAGTTGAAGAAAAACCAGTTTTTTTAGAGCCCTGTACTATGCAGCATGGAAACGAGGTTGCATGTACTGGCTGTTATGTTGCTCGAGTTTGAAGCCACATGCAGCACGGGCTTGTGAAGATTGAGAGAATTTATTGTGTTTTCTTCCTGGGTAAGTGCATTTATGTACCTATTAGATAAAATAACGGTTCTGTATAAGATTCTTAAATCAGAAAAAAACAGGTGAAACCTGTGGAAAATCAGTGTCCACGATTGTTAGCTATTTGGGTGAAGTATTTAGCGAGGAATTATGTCTTCCACAAGCAAATTTAGAAATTAAAAAGGATAATTCAGTTTACGTTGAAAGTAAAAGTAATGTCATGTTCCAAGAAAAAATTATTTGACTCGATTGTCTTAAGTAGAGTCTTCCAAAATGAATTTCACCTCGGTGAAAAACCTGTTTTTCACTCATCGCTTCGTGCTTACTTCTTTGTCACAAAACCTGACTCGTTAGTAAATTATTCTATTTTTTCTTCAGAGCTTTAAGAAAAATATACAAGGAATCGTACCAAATTTTATGAAACTGGCGAGAATTTTCGCTAAAGCCGAGGGAAATGTAGTCACTCTCTTATGAAGGAATCAATAGAGCGCGCCCTGCAAATTTTGCACTTTGGTTTAAGATGAAAACTAAAAAGTCGAGGGGAATTCCAATACACTAAAAGAATTTCGTTTATTTTTAAACTACAAGTTTAAAAAGAATTAAACTAAATAAAAGGATTCGAGGAGAATAAGTCTGGGTGAAGCATTCGGGGTTTCAACAACAACCTCGTGCCCAGGGTCCTTTCCAACTCGGCCTCCGAGGTGAGAGAGAGGGGGCCGAGTAGGAGAGGACCCTGGGAATGAGGTTGTTACAACAATTGAAACAAAGGACACAACTCTATTAAAATTTTGTTCGGAGAGGAAGGACGAGCGGTCGGGAACGATAAGAGATAGGCTTATGAATGTTCACGACTTGCCTGAGGCTGACGGTGTTTACCACCAAACCTGCATGTGAACTTTCGCACAAATAGGCAACTACCTCAAGTTTATGAGGCAGATGAGCTGCTTGTCATCAAAAAGAGGAAAGTCGGTCGGCCCCAAAATGAAGAAAAGAACCAGGCTTTTGTAAAAGTTACGAAGCTTCTTGAAGAGAATGACGACGAGAAAATAACAGTTGGTGTGTGATCTAGTAGGGAAAATGAAAGAATACTTGAATGATACAAAGAGTGTAGTTTATGGATGGTCGCACATGAAAACCAAACTCCTGGAATATTTTGCAGATAAGGTCATCATAACGGATATTGACGGGAAGCCGAACGTAGCAACGTAGCAACTTTAAAAACCACGGCTGCGAGATTCACGCGCACCAAGAAGACTTAGATATCAAAGACGAACAAAAGAACATCATCAAAACAGCAGCTAAGCTGATTAAAAAAGAACCTCAAATCAATCCCGACATCAAGTGACAGCTACCCTACAATAACCGTCGATGCCGAATCACATGCCCGCTACTTTCCCGCTTCACTTTCAACGTTTTTTAGTTTATACAGACGGAACCAGCTAACAGTGATTTGCGCAAAGCCTGAAGCCTGTACAGTACGTGCTGAACGGAGGAGCTCTTCTCCATCGAGTGCCATGGCCAAGAGGTTCTCCAACTTAGAAAAAAGTGTGCGACTTGTATTACACTTACGTGCAAAGGAATTTCGGAAAAGAGATAGTTGTGTTTGGCGGGTACGATGAAATGTCAACTAAAGCTATGGCACAGCACAGGTGCGCGTCAGGGAAGACTGCTGCCACTGTCACCTTTACAGAAAGCATGTCTATAACGATGAAGAAGGATAACTTTTTCTCGAATCCCAAGAACAAACAAAGCTTTCTGTTAATGCTACGTGAGGCTCGCCAGAATGTAGGATGCGTAACACACCACGCAAATGGTGACGCCGACCCGCTTATAGTCAAAACCGCTTTACAGTCTGCCCGAACCAATACTACGGTTCTAGTTGGGGCTGACACAGATTTGCTAGTCCTGTGTTATCATGCTTCCGAAGATGGCTATGACTCTATTTGAGACCAGAACCAAAGGAAAACGCGAGAGATGCTCGCGTCTGGCATATAAAGAAAGTCAACGAACAGCGGGGTAAGGAAGTTTGTAGAAATCTCCCTTTCTTCACGCCGTCACCGAATGGGACGCAATATCACGCCTCTATGGAGCTGGCAAGGCAACAAACCAGAAGAAATTTGAGAATGTACTACACTTCAAAGAGCAAAAGCTAACGTCTTCAGCTGTCATTCTACTTTTTCTGACGTTGTTAGTGCAAGTGAAAAACCACTTGTATCGCTTTTCCATGGTAAACCAGGGTTAGGTCTTAACCCTCTCAGATATCAGCGTTACTTTGAAAATCTTGCAGCCAAGACGTCACTTATTGAGCCACAGAATCTGTACCCAACAGCAGAGGCTGCCCGATTTCACAGCCTTCGCATCTACCTACAGGTGAAGCAGTGGCAGGGAGAAAGGTGCTGGCATGTCAATGGAGAACTGGAGGTGGAAAGTCACTAATTATCAGGTATTTCCTGTTGCAACGGACTTGCCGCCTGCCCCAGAACCATTTCTCCAATTAATCAGATGCATCTGTTCGTTTGACTGTAGCAGTATGTGGTGCATTTGGGGCAAGAATGGTACGTAGTGTCCCCGGCCTGTGGCCAATGCAAAGGGCCTTCGTCCACAAATTCTTCGAACTGACTTTAGTAGTTTTAGAAGGATACTTTCTGGCTCAAGTTTAATCTTATCATCTTTTTTGATTAATTTCCCGTAATTTACTCCCTCATTTGTCCTTCAACTTTTAATGTATATTTATTGTAATTTAAAAGGTATTCCATTTCCCCAGGAATTTTAAGAAATATTTTCAAAAATTTTAATAACCAAGAAAATAATGCTCCCCCCTTGCAATTCAAGTGCAAGTTGCAAATTCAATGCAAGTTATAGTCTCCCAAAAAAATATGAACTCAAGACAACTCAAATGCTCGCTTTCCTCGCAAGGAGATTAATCAGAAAAAATGATAAGATTAAACTTGAGCCAGAAATCATCCTCCTATAACTACTACAATTATGTAAATCAAACTTGAGCCAGAAATCACTCCCCAAAGGGGATTCCCCGTTTACAAACACTTGCTGGGTTTTTGATAGAGCTGTTTATTTCATCTAATAATAAGTTACTTTACCAAATATAATAATAAAATACAAATTATTTTGCGAAAGGAATGGGAATCTTTAGAAGATTTAGATTCTCGAATAAAAAATTTTAACAAGTACAAAAGACTTCCACCAGAAAGTGTTATTGAATATCTATTCAACGAAGATTTTGATATTAACACAACATGCGAATGTAGCGAATATTCTCCAAAGGAGGATTACTTTTTGAGTAAAAATTGCAACCCCGATTCGTTATAACAATAATTTTGATGTGAAGTATCGTACTATGATTAAACAATTTCGTAAAATAAAAGACCTTGATGTGAAATATCGTTTATTGGACGCTACTGATTTTAAGGAATTTATCAGTATTATATATCTAAGAACTATCTAAGAAATAAATAAAATGGAGCCATTAACAAAAGAGGATTTATCTGATGTCCCTGAGGAAGAGGAAATAACAAAAGAAGACTTATCTGATGTCTCTGAGGAAGAGGAAACATTATCAAAACCAAACGTTGTTACAGGAAAAGACTTTGCCAAACTGGTTAAAAAGGCTGGCAAACTTGGCGCCGTTTCCCTTGATTATTCACCCCGAAAAAATAATAAACACGTAGCGACTCTCAAGGATCGAATATCCATTACAATGAAGAACGAAAGGAGAAATATCTTGTGAGAGCCAAGAAAATTACAAACAAACAGAAGGAATTAACTTGGAAGAATCCAGAGTCGGCTAATTATTGGAGCACGCATCTTTTGTGGTTTTAAAGACGTAGGGGTAAAATAAAAATTGATTATTTAAAGACTATTTAGAAATAAAAAAATAAAATGAATCCAAATTCTAGTGAAACAAATCAACTAATTATTAAATCACTTAAAAGTTAGCTTTCAATGTACATCCTATATCAGATAGGTTACGTAAACCAATTAGTTTTAGTGAAGATTCGTATAGTAAATTATTTCTTGATTTGTCTTGGAACTTTAAAAGTTTAAGTAATAAATTATTTAATATCTGTAGGTGCTATTTGGAAGAAGAATACGGCGCTGATATGGCCTCACATCTTCCTGATATCTTTTACTACAAACAGATTGAATACACAGATATCATTTTGTTTTAATATTTCTATAAATCATCATCAACGTAGCCGGGGAGGTTCACATGGAGTGACGTAACAAAGTCTTGTACCAATCAATTCCGTTAAAATGCACCTGTCTCCTAAGTGAATCAGTTACATTAATCCTTATTTCAGAAATATTATTTGATGAGACAGGAGAATATTATAAGATCTTCTCGGTTCAAAAGTAAATGGGTAAGATCTAGTAAGATAATCTGTTGGCATGACAGCAATAGTATCAGTATTTATTCCATCAACAATACTATTTTTTATAGCGCTTGTGTTAATGTTTAAAACATAAATTGAATTTGTGATATTTAGCAGTTTTGCCCCATACTCTGTTTTTGTAAGTATTTTCTTTTCAAATTCAATAAGATCTCCAAAATCCGATCCTCTTAAATCAAACCAGTATTCATCATCGGTAAAAGTGATTAAAACGCTGAAGGTAGATAGTACAAAAGTAAGATTTATTTGAAACTGTGTTTGCCCCTTTGGGTCGGTTGAATGATGATTTTTTTGTTTCATGTATTGATGAATGTAATCGTTGATGTCAGAGTAGGAATTCATTTCATCTGTAAAACTAATTGTTTCCCAATTAAGGCCTTTGTTATGAGTGTATTTTATTCTATTGTTTCCGTAATCTTTTCTGATATTGTACCAAGAATAAGTCATTAATAATCGGTCAAGAGCAAGTTTGTGTTTCATTTCAGGGTTAAGCTTTAAGAAGCTTTCTCAGTAAAAACCGCCGACGCAATCTCGCGTGAAAAATAATTTTGCCTGAATCTCTGGCGAGTGAAAGGCTTTATCGAGACTATAGCTAAAATAGGTTTGCTTTGATTCACAATAATTTTCTGGCCGCGCTGGGGGGCGCAGAGTATTTTTTCCATCCACGGCCATTTTGCACGTCTTGAAAACTGAAAATTTGACATTTTTTGCGGCGCTGTAAAAGGTTTGATTTGCACCATTTACCAATGAATTTTATACCTATTAATGGTAAACATCTCTAGTTTTTCCTGAAAGTAATAGCTATCCGCTAAATTTAGCTGAAAAGACGAAATCACGCACAATATGACCCCAACTAATTGTCTTGGAGCAAAAGGCCAAAAATGACCCTGTTTTAAAAGCTTATTTCTGACGTTTCGGGACATAGTTAAAAGCTATAGACTAAATAGACGCAAAGATTGACCATCTGTTATTAATAATGTACAAAACGTCCTGTACGATTTCCGTATTTTAAAAGTTATGACCGTTTGTATCAACGCGTATGCGGGCTAATACGATATTTTCAGATTTAGCGTAACCGATCTATCTCAAGGAGATTTTGTCAAAAGTACGGCTTACCTAATTCATTACGGGCACTGACTCATAAATTGAGTCATATTCCAATCCCTGAGATGCCGGACTCCATAAAATTCCACTAAATTTGCTTTAGAAACTGCTGGTGTGCGCCCATTTTTGAATCCCATGCTAACAATCCCAAGCTCAGAACAGGTAAAACTGTGTCACGTTTCGAGCTAAATAGCTCGGTAAAACAACCGTTCAGAGGTGAAAGTTTGCTCGAGAATAAGAAAATCAACTAGGCAGGTCTCATTTTGGATCAGAAAATTGAGATTTCAGAGCTACAACCTCGAATAAACCTTCTATTCAACCGGCTCTTCAAGGTCAAATGCAGGTTGACTTGTAAACCGGAAATGTTGAAACCCGGAAATACGGAAAACCGAAAATGCGGAAATCCGGATCATACGGAAATCGGCAAATCTGAAATCAATCAGAAGCCGAAGGCAATTCCAACAATTAGGGACAGCTGCATTTGTTTAGGGCTTCTTTTCAACGTTGAGACACGTTGTGTCGCATAAAAAAATGAACTTCGCTCGTTAAATTTTGAGGGTTCTGTGAGTTTCAGAAAATGGTGAAAATTTGCTTATGAATAAAGTGATGCTCGTATCTCTAATACAAGAGCAGTGAAGAACCTATGTTTGGTATATTTGTCCATTACTCCACCAGACCTATCTATGATGTTGGTATGAACTCATTCTGTTGACCCCCTTCCGTTGCATTTTTAATATTTTACCCGGTTTTCTCTGAACAAATACTACCAAAAATAATCAACTCTGATCAAACAGGATTTATAAAAGATCGCTATATTGGCGAGAACATAAGGTTGATTGGTGATATAATAGATTATACAAAAACTGAAAACCTATCAGGAATATATTATTGTCATTAGATTTTAAAAAAGCTTTTGATACCCTTGAATGGCCTTGTAATATATAGATTTAGCCAGGGCTAAAAGCGAAGCTTCCGTTTCTATACTTAATATATAAATTTCGCCAGGGCTAAAAGAGAAACTCCCATTTATAAATTTATAACTTAAATCAAAGAATAAACTTGTAATCCACAGATCAGTTAACTTAAGGGCACATTCATGTGACTTTTGAGGGAAAGGCTAAGTTATTTTAGAGTGAAACATCTTACATCGAGTTGATAGCCTTATATGTACACCCAAACTAAAATAGCAAAAATCTTCGATCACATTCAAGAGCCATAATGGCTCTTGATCACAGTAGATAAGGCCTCGAAAACAAATTCTTGGAAAACAAATCAGGCCTAATTTGTTTACGTTGGACAGGTTTACTCCACAAATTCTTGCCAACAAATCTGGGGGTGTGTAAACCATCACATCTGAGGTGAAACAGTACGTACTATTTATCAAACAGACCTTTGTGAAAGAAAGCGGTATTTCATAATTTTTCAAGACATTTTGCACTCAGTCAATGTTCATGTTCGTCATGAATCGTGGGCTTTTAGCGAGACCGTTCAAAAAATTTCCAAAATCACCCATACGGCCAGCCGGTTCTCATTTCTAGTGCGAGCTGTCAGTGTGGTCGAGTGTTTGAACGAACTTTAATAGAGTTATGCTTCAACATAATAACGAATTTATCATTATTTTTTTTTGTTATTTAATGGTTTCAGTTATAACGATGTGTAATCTTATAAAGCGTTTGATACACGCGACATTTTTAAGTACTCCTGCAAGCGATGTTCATGAACGATGAAAACAAACGCAACGGAAAAAGGAATTATATGTACTCGGTGATTTCAACTGCAATTTGTTGCCTGAAGCAATTACAGTTAATTCTTCCCATCTGATAAACATTTTCGATATATATGGTCTTAGTCAGTTGATCACTGACCCAACACGTGTCACCCAGGACTAAAAAAAAACTGATTTATGTATAACGAACTCCCCAGAGAAGATTACAAATTCCGGTGTCATTCACCTTGGCATAAGTGATCATTCTCTTGATTTTTTGTCACGTAAGACTCAATACTGCCGTATTGGCCCTCGCGTGATTGAAACACGGCAATTTAAACACTTTAACAGAGGAAAATTCTTAAGTGACCTCAATCAACTACCTTGGGCCAATGTTGATTTGTATTCTGATCCCAATGAAATGTGGCGTGTATGGAAAGAAATGTTTCTTGGCTGCGTCGATAAACACGCACCACTTAAATCCAAAAGAATTCGGAAAAAACTATCTCCATGGATTACTAGAGAGTTACTGAGCAAAATCCGAAAACGAGATTTCGTTAAAAAGAAGGCAATGTCCTCCAATAACCCGGCTATATGGGATCAATTTAGGTGTGCAAGAAAACAGGCAAATAACGCAATTAAACTCGCAAAAAAACTCTATGTTTCTGACAACCTGGAAGCCAACAATGGTAATTTGTGCAAAACATGGAATGTTATCAACGAGCTAACTTCACGTAACAGTGGTAAGTCAAAGAATATTTTGGAGATCAAGGTAGATGATAAAATAGCAAGTAACCCTATGGACATTGCGGAAACTATTAACGATCACTTTACAAACGTTGCGCAAGTATTAGCACAAGATATTCCTGTTGTCGATGTTCATTCTGAGTCTTATTTAAAGCCCACTGATCATTCGTTTTCTCTGCAAATTCCGAGTGTTGATATTGTTTCTAACGTTTTTTCGAAAATTGATGAAAAGAAAGCCACCAGTCTTGATATGATTCCGAGTAAATTGTTGAAAATGGCTGCTAATATCGTCGCACCCTCTCTTACCTCAATATTCTCAAAGTCTATTCTCACTGGGATATATCCAAACGATTGGAAAACAGCCAAAGTGACTCCACTTTTTAAAAAGGGCATTAAATCGGACCCTAACAACTACAGGCCAATATCTGTAATCCCTATAATTTCGAAAGTTTTTGAAAGAATTGTTTATAATCAACTTTTCCATTATCTAGTTAAGCAACAGACCACACTTTCTATGGGTTTACCGGCGTGATAACCCACGCGGGATGTTGGGAGAACACGAGAAAAGCTTGTAAATCACGAGCCGAAGGCGAGTGATTTACAAGCTTTTCTTATAAAATAACTTTTAGTAGAATGGAGTCTTTTAGGTAAGAAAATATGCTTTTTATAGTACCGTGATCAAGTCATGTCTTCTCTCCAAAATCATCATAAGCCAATCATGACTCACGATTTAATAGCGCTGAACTTTCTCAAAACTCAGTTCAGTCAAACAACAAACAACAGCACTTCAAAACACAAGTTTTTCCGCTCATTACATGATAACTTATGAAGGCTGTTTTACAGAAAAAGTCAACACATATTTATCCGAACGTACAATGAAAGAAGACGTTCATGGTTTGTTTACTACAGAAGTAGAAATTAATTGAACATCAGACTGTACGCAGCTGTATTTTGTTGAGTCGATCCGTAAAATTTCGTGCTTACAGACGGAACTGGCAGCTATTGTAATGGAGGACTTCATTCACTTTTTACAAGCCGCAGTGGTTTAAGATCTGTTTTCTGGACTTTATTATGGTCAAGAAATGCTGCGGTAACGACGTGGCTGCATTTGCGAAGTTGTCGCATGTAACTTTATATGCACGTACAGGGACCGATGGAAATATGTCAGTGGTGAAGAAAGGTTTCTTTGCCGTAGCCACATATTGGCGCTAATATTTGTCGATTTGTGAAGTCAGGTGGTTTGAGGTAGGTTATGGCATCGACATCACCGAATAATTTGTGCAAATGTTGGAAAAAAACCACCCCGAAACTCTGACATCTTTCATTATCGTTGGCAGCTTGTTTACAACCTACATCGGCGGATTTTGTACCATATCTTGATCAGAGATCTCTTTTTGGAACAATTTCTTTCATTAAGAAATTTAATTTTGACATAAAATAAATCAAGAATGCTAAAACTATCCGTTTTGTTGCTGGTTGGCACATGGTTAAGTTTTCTAGAGACTTTCTACACCAGAAATTCACACAGTTGTTGTCTTTCTCTGCGATTTGGCATCGTCGTGAAATGTAAACTGCTTTCCAGCTTTGTATTTTATAACCTCTAAAACTATGGCAGTCGCAAATTGTGACCCTCGGTAATAAAAATTGCTTTTAATATTAAGAAGGGCTACGGTAAGTAACTTGTTCTGTTTTTTAGCCTTTCTAAAATCGTTGTTTGCAGATCAATAGCGGGTTTTGTTTATGGCTCGTTGTCCGGATGCCATTTTCTGTGGGTTTACCGGTATAATAAACCATAGGTTTTTGACCAATCAGATCACGCGTACTATCTCAGTTATTTTATAAATGATAATAAATTGCCACTAGGTTGCCAATCAGGGTTCCGTTCTCTACATAGTACGCTCACGGCTTTGCTTAAGGCAACAAATGCTTGGTCAGTAAACATCGACAATGGTCTTCTAAATGGGGTTGTCTTTATTGACCTTACTAAGGCATTCGACACCATTGATCATGAGATCATCTTGCGTAAGATGTCATACTTGGGTGTCGTCGATCAGCAGCTATAAAATGGTTCTCGTCGTACTTAAGTTGCCGAACCCAAAGATGTAATGTCAGTGGCAAACTATCATCTGCTCGTACCCTCAGTTGCGGCGTGCCGCAGGGTAGCATACTGGGTCCTTTGCTATTTTTAATTTACATTAATGATCTTCCCAACTCCCTGCGGGGCGCCGTACCAAGAATGTTTGCCGATGACACCAACCTTACGTTATCTGCTAAGACGTTAACAGAGCTTAAGCTAGCTCTAACCCCTGAATTAAATAACTTTAGCTGTTGGCTGAAAGCTATCAAGCTCAGTCTAAATGTTGCTAAAACAGAGCTAATGATTATTGGATCAAGACTAAGACTATCTGCCCAATGTGACGATGTAGAAATCAGAATTGATGACCAAATTATCAAGAGAGTCGATCATACCAAATCCTTGGGTCTTACCATAGATGCTCAACTCTCTTGGGATAAACACGTTGAAGAGATTTGCAAGAAAGTCTCTTCAGCTATAGGCGCCCTAAAACGTGTGCGGCCCTTTATATCCAAAGAAACTGCAATTCAAATTTATAACGCTTTAATTATGCCTCATTTTGATTACTGCAGCCCCGTCTGGGACTGTTTGAGTGGTTACTTGGGTGATAAGCTCCAAAAATTACAGAATCGTGCAGCCAGAGTTATTACTAAATCACCCTTTGAAACGAGCTCAAACCACCTTCTCTCCACCCTCAGCTGGGAGAGGCTATCTCTTCGACGAAAGAAACAAAAAGCCTTAATGATGTATAAAACCATGAATGACCTTGCTCCAGAATATCTACAAAGTCTTTTCTCTCAGCGTCACTCTGCTTGTAACTTAAGAAACTCTGAGGGAAGGCTGACCCTGTCCAAACCAAGCACCAATTATTTGAAACGAAGCTTCTCTTACAGTGGGGCCATGTTATGGAATAACTTGCCCAAAAACTTAAAAAATGCTGCATCCGTTGAGCATTTTAAGCGAAATATCAAGAAGGTAGCTGATATATCGGATTCCCACACGGCAATCATGTAAAGCAGTTGCAATTAGTTTTAGTCTTTAACTTAAGCTTAACTGATGATTCCCGTGTTTAAATAACGATTTACATACATACATACATACATACGGACGAGCGATTAAAATTGCAAGAGAGACCACTAACAATCAATAAAAGAAATATAATTCGGTGAAACATTTACAGAGACAACAACTTTAATTCACGAAGACACGTAAAGAGACAAGTAGAGACAAGTGTCTCTAAAAATCCTGAGTCTTTACACTTAAAAGTTAATTATGTTTTACTTTCAGCCGGCCTCCCGGTGTTTGCTTTTTTCAAAGATAAACCCCTCGAAGCAAGAAAATCGCTCAAAGTTTTCTTTCCACAGCCAAATTTATAGCTTAATATTCTTCGGAACGTTTCCTTTCTATTTGCGGTGAGAAAATATATCTGAAGGCCTTTTTAAGTTCTGTAAGCTTATATCAAACCTGATACTGGGTCAGATCATTGATTCAAATCTTACAAACGTGGATAAACTTGCCGCATAAACTGTGCTCGACTTCATGAAATTAGATATAACAAAAACAAACATCAATAAGTACTCAGGCTTACCATTCGAGATTCCGTTCCTGAAAGATATCAAGGAAGGCCACAGTTGCTGGAGACTTTTAAACCCTCTTACGCATGAGTAAGGTGAAAAACGAAAACGATGTCATCCGAAATCGGATTACCGAATTTTGACAAGTGACGCATTCCTCAACCAAAAACCCAATAAACAAACCAGCCATGAATAACAGTTAAAATGATAGTTGAATACATTACAAGTTGACACAAAACTCTGTCAGCCTCAGCCCTCAAAGTAAACAACTTTCAAGATGCTGCATAAATTTTCCGTATGAACTCACCTGCCAATTTTTGACCAATCAGAGTATAAAAATTGGACGTAGAGCGTGACCAACACGTGACCATGGTAAGAAAGGTCTTCCCCGCAACTTCCCCGCCTGTATTTTTAAAAACTGGCTGAATTTTCGCGTCCGAGGTCAGTTTGAATTCAAAATGTTAACGGGGCCATAGTGACATTAAAACAACATATTTCATATGAATCATTGGAAAAAATAAACTAGAACCTGCGGTCATTTGAAACTGGTAATTTGTCAGCGGATATGTTCAAAAAATAATCGACCTCGATGGGTCGACACTTGAGCCCGCGGTGCGGTCAGGTGATACTGGTCAGCGGATACCCTGTTTTGACAGCTGTCAATTGATCACATCATTGATGTGCAATTAGTTTTCTCTTGGGCTCCCAAACTAGCTAGAAAGTGTGAGAGTCAACATTGGTTCCCCTGCGGTGCGCACGGACGGTTTTTCTCGGATGGGTAGATTACCACATTTCCTTAGCTGTGGAGCTCCGCTCTGATAAAAAACAACCAAATGAAAGTAATAACATGAACTCTAAGCCAAAGAAAAGAAATATTCACATCGGTAAGAGCCTTCGGCATCAGAAACTTTTAGAGGGAGGGGCAAAATTAATTGAAAATATCCCGCAAACAAACCGGAATTGAAAAAATTGTTAAATTGTAGCTCTCTTAAGTAGCAGCAATTTGCAGGTCACGATTTCTAGGGTCGGTGTTTCTGTGTTTAAGGGAAGACCTAAAAGAAAAATCAGGACGACTTGGCAACTTTTGTCTTCCCGTAAGCCCATTACATTTTCTTTTCTTTTCTCTTTTTTAAACGGGCCCGGATGAACAGTTTTGTGTAGCCTTTACAATTATACCTCACAATATCTGAAAGAAAATTTTACTGTAAGGTGTATAATATTTTCTCTGAGGACAGACATAGGAAAGCAAACGATAGCCTTTTTTCGCTGCTAATAACAATAATCCAATCTTTAACTACAACTATAAACGTTAGTACAGCAACTTACAACTTTTTTTTTTTTTTTAAATAAAGACAAACTCGGGCTCCAAAAGCCGGCGAGTCTGTCCGTTTCAGAATAGAGGAGAACTCTTTCATTTTTTAGATATGCTCATTTTTTCAATGAGAATATAAAGCCGTAAACAAACAACTGAAAACAAAACGCAAACGCAAAATTCAAACGTTATTCAGCTGTATTCAGGGCACAAGTTATGGAAAAAGAGCTGCACAGTGCTAAACTGCAGAAATCCTTGAATTCTACTCACTGCAAAATTCTTGAATGGCAAGTAATGAATGAGAAAATGAATAGCAGTTCAATTCGGAACATGTAAAAAAACAACACTTCAGTTTTAATTCAAGAAAGGGCGCGTCTGAATGTTTCTAAAAATGTCACGATCTGTAGTCTCATGGTCGTTTTTGAGCTAATGTTTTAAATGAGCTACAAACAGATCAAAAAATTAATTTCTTTAAACTTTTTATTCAAAAACCTATATGCTAATCATAAAAAGCAATTCGCGTAAGACAAGTTAAATCGTTGCGTTCAAGCAAGTTAAATCGGTCGAGCACATTGTAAAAAAACAGTCTCAAATGCACATTTTGTGCTTTTTCTTTCACTCCGATGTCAAAATGTAGAAAACGTCCATGAAACCTTTATAAATACAAAAATTCCTTTTTACAAACGAACTTTTCTTTAATCATAGAGTACGGAATGTACCTCAAGTGTTTTCAGAAACCTCGCTGCCTTGGTTGGTTCAAAACAAGCCAAGCGCTCCTATCCGCCGTGTAGAAAACAAGGTTGAATTCATCGAACGACAATTTCATAGCGAAAAGCTTTCCTTTGTCCACAAACAGGACACTGAGCATTCCTTTGAACTTTCTCTTTTCATTTGTGTCTTTTATCGGCGTATTTTCAATCTCTTAATGCAAAACTTTAGTCTTGAAACCCACCACATCATGATCGCGCGCTAGCCATTTTGTTGATGGATGACATTTACAAAGGTGTCAAATCCGTTTCTTCCCTCACCCCCTAAATGGCTGACATGACCATTGGACGTTTGTGAGGGAGTGGGATATGGGTGATTTTTGTCCTGGAAGAATTTTTCCCCAAACCTCTCTGGAGCTAGAAATTTTTTTTTCCATGACATATAACGGTGTAAGATTTTTTCCAGCATTGTACGTCATGAGCGGTATTTTTTTCAGTGTGGGATATTTTTCTCCCAAGAATTTATTTGCATGCTTTTTTCCTCTCGAAATCCGTCTGCATGACATTTTTCTCTGAAATCACCCATAACCTCCTCAAAAGTCAAATGGTCGGCCCCTAAAATCCACCAAACATTTGGTCAGTTGACAGATTCTGATTTGTCAATCATTTCTAGAGGCTTTTGAAACAATAGGGAGAAACCTCTCTAGGGGAGAGGGGAGGAATTCGTTGCTACTTACCCCTACCCGGAAAGTCCGCACGGACGGACGTACCCTGACGTCATAACCAAATTTTCTCGGATAGATAGCTTACCAAATTTTATTACCCAAGGTGCTCCTCTGTGCGCGCTTCGCACGAGGAGGCTCCGCTATTGAATATTGTGTTAGATAGTTTGGATTTTGGAGAGAGTGTTAAAAGATGGATAAGCGTTTTTTAAGCAGGTATTGAAACAACAGTTTTAAATATGGATTTGCAACAAAATGGCTTAAGTCCTCGAGAGGAGTAAGACAGGGGGTGTCCACTCCCCCCCTATATCTCTTTGTTCTCAGTGCCGAAATTTTAGCAGCTAAAATTCGTCAAAACAATCTTATTAAAGGAATCAATTTATTTGTTAATTTGAGATTTTACATTTATTCCTGTAAACTTCAAAAGAAAGCATTGACTCTTTCAGACTTTGCCAAACAAATAGAATTTAAATACCAGTTCGAAAAGTTGTGATTGATTAACTGTATGTAGTTTTATAGTCAAGGTCAATTGTAAGTTACATTCGTCTCGTCCCTTTTTTTTGTTTGCTTTTTCAACTTTTGTCAATTCCTTAGTACTTAATTATGTGCCTCTTTGTAACTTTAACAGTGCGATTTAAGTAAAACAATTATTTTAAAAAAACAAAATCATAAAAAAGAAAGAATCTCCGGGGTCAGATGAAAAACTAGTCGTTTTGCCCCTACATATAAGCTGATATAATGTAACACAGTTATCAAAATATTAATGAACACTTTCCCAGGGAAGGGCAGTAGTTTAAAGTTATATGCGCGAACCAAATTAAGGTTAATTGACGGCTGTCAAAATAAGACATGTGCTGACTACTATCAGAAAACTAATCACGTGGGTTCAGGTACACGATCTGGCATTTCGCCACTACAAGCCGGACTGAAATGTCTTACTCACACTCACAGTCGACAGTCCGTATTCTACAAATATTCGCCATCCCGAGGTTAATTGACAGATGTCAAACTAGAGCATCCGCTGGCCGTCATCACCTGACCGTGTCACGGGCTCATTTTTCTACCCGTTGAGATCGCGTATTTTTTTAAGTTTTCCAGTAGATTTTATTTTAATTACGTGACCGTACATCGACCGCCTGACCGTCCGCTCCACAGGCATACCAATGTTTAATTTTACACTTTCTAGCTAGTTTGAGAGCCTGCAGCTTGATATTGTACATCCATGTGACCATCCATGTTGTGATCAGTTGACAGCTGTCAAAAAAGTGTATCCTCTAACCATTTTCGCCTGACCGTATCACGGGCTCAGGTATCGACCCACTGAGTTCGATTCCTTTTTTGAATTTATTCGGTAACAAATTACTACCTGTCAAATGATCACAGGCTCAAGTTCATTTTTTTTTAAATGCATGTGAAATAAGTTATGTTCATGAGCTGTACCATTAAGATTTTGGTTTGAAACTGACCTCGGACGCCAAAATTCAGCCGGCTTTTACACGCAGTCGCTTTTGACTTTCCTCGCCATGGTCACGTGTTGGTCACGCTCTTCGTCTAATTTTTATGCTCTGATTGGTCAAAATTTGACAGGTGAGTTTATGCGGAAAATGTATGCAGCATCTGGAACTTGTTTTCTGATAGCTGAAGCTGACAGAGTTTTGTATCGCCAACTTTTCATGTTTTTAACTGTCCTTTTCCACTGGAATTACAAGTGAAGACAGCTACTATCAAGATTTTTTTGTAATTCGTGGCTGGTTTGTTTATTGGAAAAATGTTTGAGAAATGCGCCGCTTGTCAAAATCATCGGAAATCCAATTTCGTATGGCATTGTTTTCGTTTTTCACCTTGCTTGATGCGTAAGAGGGCTTAAAAGGCTCAAGTGATTCTGGCCTTACTTGATGGCCTTCAGGAGCTGCATCTCGACTGATAAGCCTGAGTAATTATTGTATTTGATGTGGTTTTTCTCGATCAGGTTTCCTAAAGTCGAGCGTAGTTTATGTGGCTAGTATATGGACGAGACAATGATCTGACTTTCAATAGTATCAGGTTTGATATAAGCTTACAGAACTTTAAAAAGCCTTTAGACATTTTCTGACCGCAATTCAATACAAAAAAATTGGCTTTAAAAAGAAAGCTCTGAGCGATTTTCTTGCCTCCAGTTCATCTTGGAAAATGGCAAACATCGGGAAGCCGACTTAAAACATAAATCTACCAGGTTTTTTATAAAGTTTATAAGCTTATGCTTACCTTACTCATGATTTTCAGAGACACTTTAACCTCAACACCTTTCTTCGTGAATGAAAATTGTTGTCTCTGTACACGTTTAACCGAATTATTTTATTTTATTGATTGTTAGTAGTCTTTTTCGCAATTTAAATCGCTGCGCCGCTTGTTTTCAGTCGTACATAAACATCGCATGCAGGAATACTCAAAATGACGCGCGTAAATATCAGACGCTTTTAAAGATTACACATAACAAAACCATAAGTGAAGAGAAATAAAACCGAAACATCATAAATTCTCTATCATGTTGAACGCGTAACTCTGTTAAGGTCCATTTACTTACAAGACAGCCGGGACTGGAAACTTGATGCTTGTCAAAAGTGAGAACACGTCCGGCTGGCCGTATACAGGTGATTTTAGGATTTGTTTATCGTTTTCACTACAAGACCATAGTTGTTACCCTACATATGATATAGGAGCATATTTTTCTAACTGAACAATCGCCGCATTATGCTGAATTCTCTTCATGAAAACGTTTTAAAGCGCGCAGCGGAGCACCATGGGTAATAAAAAAATTTGGTTGTCAAGTCACCGTACGTCCGTCCGTACGTCAGTACGGACTCTCCAGGTAGGGGTAAGTAGAAACGAATTCCTCCCCTCTCCCCGAGAGTTTTGTCCCCTATTGTTTCAAAAGACCTTTAGAAATGATTGACAAAACAGAATCTGTCAACTGACCAAATGTTTGGTGGATTTTAGGGGCCGACTATTTGACTTTTGAGGGGTTATGGGTGATTTCAGAAAAAATGTCCTGCAGGCTGATTTCGAGAGGAAAAAAGCGTGCAAATGAATTCCTGGGAAAAAAATTATCCTGCACTGAAAATCGCTCATGACGTATAATGCTGAAAAAAATCTTATACCTTTATATGTCGGGGAAGAAATTTCTAACTCCAGAGAGGTTTGGGAAAAAACTCTTCCCCAATACAAACTAAATCAGTATAATAACCCATACCCCACTCCCCCACAAACGTCCAATGGTCATGTCAACCATTTAGAGGGTGAGGAAAGAAACGGATTTGACACCTTAGTAAATGTCATCCATCAACAAAATGGCTGGCGCGCGTTCGTCATGTGGTGGTTTACAAGACTAAAGTTTTGCATTTTAAGACTGAAAGTACGCCGATAAAAGATACAAATGGAAAGAGAAAGTTCAAAAGAATGCTCAGAGTCCTTTTTGTGGACAAACGAAAGCTTTTCGCTATGAAATTGCCTTTCGATGAATTCAACCTTGTTTTCTACACGGCGGATAGGAGCGCTTGGCTTGTTTTCAAACAACCAAGGCAAAGAAAAGTGCGTTTTCAAAAGGGAATTTTTGTATTTTTAAAGGTTTCATTGACGTTTTCTACATTTTGACAACGGCGTGATAGAAAAACCACAAAATGTGCATTTGGAATTGATCTTTTGCCATATACTCTACCGATTTAACCTCCATGAACGCATGAACCTCCATGATTCTTGTCTTACGCGAATTGCTTTTCAGGGTTAACTTATGGGTTTTTTAATAATTATTTTCAAGAAATTAAGTTATTTATCTGTCATTGTTCATTTATAACATTAGCTCAAAAAATGACCATGAGACTACAGATCGTGAGATTTTTAGAAACATTCAGACGGGCCCTTTCTTGAATTAAAACTGAAGTGTTGTTTTTGTACATGTTCCTCATTGAATTGCTAATATTTATTTTCTCATTCATTACTTGTATGTATAATTCAAGAATTTCTGCCGTTTTGCAGTGTGCAGAGCTGTGCAGTGTGTCGTTCTTTTTCCATAACTTGTGCCCTCAATACTGCTGAATACCGCTTGAATTAATTTTACTGCGTGTCTGTTCAGTTATTTGTTTATGGCTTTATATTCTCAGTGAAAAGGCGAGAGTTCTCCTCTATACTAAAACAGACAGGCTCGTCGGCTTTTCGAGCCCGAGTTTGTCGTTTTTTTTTTGTAAAAAAAGGTGTAAGTTGCTGTATTAACGTTTATATTTGTAGTGAAAGATTGGATTATAGTTGAACGTTATCGTTTACTTCCCTATGTCTGTCCTCAGAGAAAATATTATACACCTTACGGTAAAATTTTCTTTCAGATATTGTGAGGCATAAATGTAAAGGCTACACATAACCGTTCGTACGGGCCCGTTTAAAAAAAAAAGAAAAGAAAATATAATGGGCTTTCTGGAAGACGAAAAGCTTAAGTCGGCCTGATTTTCCCTTTAGGTCTTCCCTTGAACACGGAAACACCGACCTTAGAAATATCGTAACCTGTAAATCGTTGCTACTCAAGAGACCTACAATTTAACAATTGTTTCAATTCAGGTTTTTTTAAGGGATATTTTGTCTTAATCATCGGCTCCTCCCTCTAAAGGTGTCTGGTGCCCATGGCTCTTAGGGATGTGAACATTTCTTTTTTTTTGGCTTAGAGTTCTTGTTATTACTTTAATTTGATTGCTTTTATCATAAGTTTAGAAACGGAGACTTCGCTTTTAGGCCTGGCTAAATCAATATATTATGGAGCTTAAAGGAAGAGCTGTCAAGCGTAAGGCCCAAAACCGTGGTCATGTCTAAGTAATTTCCTGGTTGGAGGATCTGGCACGACTAAAGCCAAGAAAAACAGAAAAAGCAGACTTGATAAAACGTGATTAATCGCAAAAGTTATTTTCCGAAAAGGTACAAAAAAAAAGTGTCCCCAGTGAAACGCATTAATAAAGGCTGCTTTCTTTTTCATTTGTTTTAATTTTTGTCCAAACAAAATAGTTTCCAAAACACATCCTTAGTCATATAGTCACTAAGAACTGTATTCCATGACAGAGTTGACCAGAGTCCTGGCAGAGTGCCAGCGTTACATGAATGCGAGCGTTGAATTCTATTGTGAGCCCTCCTTAATACCAGACTTCTTTGTGGAGAAATAGGGCGATTAACGGGGCGAGCGCGAAATAGGCCTAGCAACGCACGCCAATTTTCTTCGCGCGGTTCACCTTTTTTTTGGGGGGGGGGGAGGAGTTTGTTTTGTTATCGTTGTTGTTGTTGTTGTTGTTGTTGTTTATTTTGTCTTGTTTTCTCCTGTTTCTTTTCTTTTCTTCTTTTTTTTTAATATAAAGTTGTCCCAACAACTTCATATACGTGGTTTGCTCTTCGATCATGGGTATCAAACTATTATTTATAATCAGGATTTAAATATAAAAAAACATCCTTTAGTAAAATTTATATTTACAAAATAGTGATACATGTATATATATATATATTTTCTTGTCATTGCATGCAATTTTTTCGTCCCGCATTTTTCCATCCGCATTTTCCTATCCTCATTTTTTCATCCTCATTTTGCCATCCGCATCCGTCATCCGCAGGTATCCGGTACGTTTTTTACTGACACCCATTTGAAAGAAACAGTTCTCTAGAGTATTATCAAATGTCCTGTGTTGGGAAAACAAAACATACAAGCTAAAGAGGTCTATAATCAACCTTTTTCATGTACATGTTGAAGTTAGTAGTTGTGTTACTTACAATTATTAATAAGACAAATACACAAAGAAGTAGTTAATACATATGACACCCTGTTTATGCGGAACAAAGGAATAACTAACTCTCCTTATGCCTAAAAAAAGAAAACTTTTCTATGTTTATAACAACCAAACAACTGCACCATTTCATAGCAACAGAAAACATTTTATCTAAGATCCAGACATGCAGTTGTCTGACATTGTCTTCCCGCCTGCCTGCAACAATGGGTTTACTTCATATACAGTACAGTGTAAACAGGACTTAATATGTGCAAATATGTGTTCTCAAAAACGTTATGTAACAGTAGTAACATTGAGATTCAAATGTATCCAACATTTAGTCAATAAATGGTTCAGATTTTCAAAAAATAAATGTTTCTTACCGATCGCTTCCTTTCCAAAGCTGATTTTATCCTTTCAAAAAAGTTCCCTCATGACACTTGCAAACAAACTTTTATATAGCAGGTTCGTAAAGCTACAAGAGTCTGAGAGCTGACTCTTCTCCCGAACCTTAACGCAAGCAAAACACCTTTTCAAGTAAACAATGCTATTGCGAGAAACTGTCAAATAAAGTTCCTTATTCCTTGTAGAAGAATCTCTCCCACTGATAATTGTAATTGTCAAGGTTGCCAACAAGATGCGTCCTGCTTGAAAAATAAATGCAAGCGATGAAATCAGTTTGGCAGTCCCTTTTAATCTTATCCTTCTCCTTTTTTCTAATTTAAAATAGTTTTCATTTGATTTATTTTGGTGCTGCAAACACTCAAAAATGTTAAATCATTTGTTTAGGAGAAAACTTTACATTGCAGATACTCTTACGATATTACCAAATACGGTGATCTAACATCAATGTTTTTTCTATTTCTTTAAGATACGTAATGCGAACAAACATAAAGAAAGTTAGCATTCGATCTTTCCATGGCATTCACGACAACTTCTCGAGTAAAATGTAAGTACGCTTCATGCGTCGATTATACTTGTAGTTGCATATCACAACAACGTCTAAGACTCTAAGAAAAAGGAAGGAAAAAAGCGCCCGTTAACAGTTTAGTCTGGCCTTCTCCGCGATCTCAGTTAAGGTTGATTTCAAATGACGCGTTTTTGGCTACTCACGTTAACCGTAGTCACGTAGATTTTAATCGCGCAAATAAAATAGAGGCAAGATAATATATAGACTTAGCCAGGGCTAAAAAGCGAGGCTCCAATTAATAAATATATAATTTGAATCAAACAATAAACTTGTGTTGTAAACGGGAGTTGATTTCGTGGCCAACAGATAGGTGTCGACTGCTTGAGCATCTCTAGACCTGGCCGGTTTCGGGCTATCAGTATTCTAAGAGACTTGCACACACTCAAGTTCTGATTATATTCATATTCATCCTACACAAAATCCTATCAGTTTAAAGGGTGTAGCTTGTAGCTTTTACGCTATTCCGATCGGAAGGCACATCTAACTATCTACTTTACACGATGCACATTTTTGCACGCTTGCTTACACAATAGGGATCATATTTCCGGTTCCTATCAAGCTAGTAATTGATCTATTGTTCACTCAAGATTAACAAGTCACGATTCATTGTACAAAGTGTCACGAATTCTTTAACTTTACTACACTTGTAATCCACAAATCAGTTAACTTAAGGGCACATTCATGTGGCTTTTGAGGGAAAAGCTAAGTGATTTTAGAGTGAAACATCTCACATCGAGTTGACTTATATGTTCACCCAAAAAATAGCAATCATCTTCGTTCACATTCAAGAGCCGTAACGGCTCTTGATCACAGTAGATTAGGCCTGGAAAACAAATCAGTCCGAATCTTTTGCGTTCGATAAGTTTACTTTTAATACAAAATCTTGCCAACAAATCTGGAGGTGTGTAAACCAACCTTTTATACTTTTTATACATCACATCTGAGGTGAAACAGTACTATGAGGCGCTGTATTTATCATACAGATCTCGGACAGAATGCAGTCTTTCACTGTTTTTCAAGACAAATTGCACTCAGTCAATATTCAGGACGATCAATCGTTGGCTTTTAGCGAAACCGTTCAAAAAATTTCCAAAATCACCTATACGGTCAGCCGGCTCTCACTTTTGACAAGCGGTCGAGTGTGTGAATGAACATTAATAGAGTTACGCCTCAACATAATAACGATTTTATTATGTTATTTTTTTTAATTTCATGGCTTTATAACGAAATGTAATCTTGAAAAGCATTTGATACGCGCGACATTTTGAGTACTCCTGCAAGCGATGTTCATGAAAGACTGAAAACAAACGGCACAGCGATTAAAATTGCGAAAGAGACTTCTAACAATCATTAAAAGAAATATAATTCGATGAAACATTTAAAGAGACAGCAATTTTCATTCACGAAGACAAGTATTAAAGTGTCTCTAAAAATCCTGAGTCTTTAAGTGTATGTTTTAAGCCGGCTTCCCAGTGTTTGCTTTTTTCAAAGATGAACTCGAGAAAAGAAAATCGCTCAAAGTTTTCTTTCTACAGCCAAATTTATAACTAAATATTCTTCGTATTCTTCGTATTCTTAGTATTCTTCGAACGTTTTCTTTCTATTTTCGGTGAGAAAATATCTCTAAAGGCTTTTTAAAGTTCTGTAAGCTTATAACAAACCTGATACTAGGTCAGATCATTGTCTCAAATCTTCCAAACGTACATAATTAACTTGCCGCATAAACTGTGCTCGACTTCATGAGGTTAGATATAAGAAAACAAACATCAGATACAATAATTACTCTGGCTTACCATTCGAGATGCAGCTCCTGAAAGCTATCAAGTAAGGCCGCAATTGCTTGACACTTTTAAACTCCTCTTACGTATCAAGCAAGGTGAAAAACGAAAACGATGCCATCCGAAATCGAGTTTCCGACTTTGACAAGCGACGCATTTCTCAACCAAAAACCCAATAAACAAAACAGCCATGAATAACAGAAGATTCTTGATAGCAGCTGCATTTCATTTGGTACATCCAGTGGAAAAAGACATTAAAAAACATCGCAAGTTGACACAAAACTCGCTCAGCTTCAGCTGTCAAAGTAAACAAGTTTCAAGATGCTGCATAAATTTTTCGCATGCACTCACCTGTCAAATTTTGACCAATCAGAGCATAAAAATTGGACGTAGAGCGTGACCAACGCGTGACCATGGTAAGAAAAGGTCTTCACCGCCTGTAGTTTTAAATAACTGGCTGAATTTTCGTGTCCGAGGTAAGTTTGAAATCAAAATCTTAATAGTGCTGGGCCATAGTGTCATAAACATGACATATTTCATATAAATTTTTAAAAAACAAATTTGAGCCTGCGATCATTTGAAAACTAGTAACTTGTCAGCGGATAATTTCAAAAAATACTCAAACTCGATGAGTCGACACCTGAGCCCGCGATACCGTCAGGTGATACTGGTCAGCGGATACCCTGTTTTGACAGCTGTCAATTGATCACAACATTGATGTGCAATCAGTTTTCTCCTGGGCTCCCAAACTAGCTAGAAAGTGCTAGAGTAAACTTTGGTATGCCTGTGGTGCGAACGAACGGTCGTTCGCTCGGTGTACGGTCACGTGATAACCCAATTTTCTGGGATGGGTAGATTTACTTAGCTATGGGGCTCCGCCCACGCGCGCGCAACGAGAAGTTAAGCGACATTAAACTTTTACGCTTACGAGAGACCTTTCATACATTGCCTCTATTTTATTTGCGAACGAAAATTTTGCGCACGTAAAAATTACGCGACCCTGGAGTCAACCCTTAGTCGAAACGAGCGAAAAGAAATTCGCAACTGGATCACAAAGGTGGAACTTGAGAGCTAGGAAGGGTAGGCGGCATTTTTTTGTGACGCTGAATCTTTTCTCCATCTGTCATCACTAAATGACAGATGGAAGCAAGTTAAATAAACATCTCGTCTTGTTTTGTTTCAGAGGGAAAAATTAAGATTTCAGTTGCTCTTTTGTTAAAAAGGAGGATGCTATCGAGCTAAATAGTTCATGAAAGGTTAATTTTTTGACTTCCCGTACAAAAAAAGAATGCCTTTAGTTTTCCTGCTACCTAGAGTCACCTAGGAAAATGGTTGACACTTCATCGATGACATACAGGGACAATCCATGTGCGACGGAAATTTACTTTGTATGTTCTCTCTCGTCAAATACATTATAATTGAATAGTATATTTACGAAAATTGCTTAAAACGTGTGCTTGTCTGTAAAATTCGCCGTTTCCCTTGATATTGCTTCAAAGGGTCCAGATTTAAGAGGAAATTTGCAGAATACAATAGCTTTCGCGGATTCACAAACAGAAAAAAAAACTGTAAAAGCTTAATTGCACAGCAATTCCGCCGGGACCCGATTGTATCGATTTGCAGATTTATTTCCGTTTGCAAACTTAGCGATTCTTATCACCTCTCTACCGCTCTTTTTCAATAGAAGTTTGGAAGAAGGAAAAATTGGTTATATGGCAATCCGGGATGCAAGATTCACCTACACAGTTCATCTGTGAGTTAATTACTATCAATAATAACAAAGACATCAGAAATAAGTAAACTTGCAGTTTTTTTCTTTATCATTAGCCCCTAGATAACGATTTTTTTAAAATCTTTTGTTCACTTTAGCGGTAAAGGGCATCATGATTTTCAATACATCAACATCTCTGCTCCTTCTTGGGTTGCTAAAGAACAATTACTGTCAGCTTTTAAACAATCTGGATTTGCCGATCAAACTTTTGGAAAAGACACATTACTACCGTGTTCACTGGGGTCGTTCATTAACGCCTCCTCTAAAGCCACTGAATGCACAGAGTGTCCAGCAGGTAAATTACTTCTTAGTCTAGCTGACAATACATCCTTAAATCTTAGAGATAACATATTAATTTGCCTTTGAGATGGACAGTCATTTTGTTCTCATTGTTTAACGTGAACTTCAAGGAGTATCAGATCAAGTGTTTTTCTTTGTTAATACATGTAGTATACTTACAGCATAGAGATCTTTAGGATGTCCCACAATTCTTTTTTAAACAAAGAACAGACGTCAGTTTTTTTTGGTCTGACTGAAAGGCAGGTATCAGGAAAGAAGTCCATTCCCGTAGTCTAACATTGACGATGTGGATCCACTAAAAATGGATAATGACAATGTATAGTAAATACAGTAACAATTTCAGGTATTGGAACTACTTTGTATCCACTTTAAATAAGGCTGCTATCTTTGATGTTTAAATTACTTGAGTACCGTTGTCTGCAAGTTACAAAATGAGTCTAACATCCTGCATGAATCCTCAGCTAATATTAAGCAAATGTTTAATTGTTTTGATTGTACCATGTGGGTGGGCTTCAGTAGCCTAAACTAATGTGCGTCAGGTAGGTTTTTTTTTTATCTGCTTATCTCGCTAAAAAGAAAACAACTCCATAAGGCCAAGTTTTATAACGTTGCAAATTGTCCAGTTTCTGATAATTTATAAACCTTATTAAAATAGGAGAGCCAACCTTTCAATAACCTTGTTTAAATTGTATTCCGTCATTTTTAACCCCGATCTTTAGGCGAAAAGTTCCCCTCCCTAAAAACTACAACCCTGGTCAAAACGTCTTCGGACACTTGAGAAAATTAGGCACAAAGACGAACTTTGCTAAATTAACTCAATATTCTACCTCTTAAAAAAGCTTGGGGAGGTTGTTATAAGGGACTACTTCTGCTATTCCCCTCTTCCCCAAGCAGTGTTGATTGTGCTGAATTAAAACTTGAATGCATAACGTCAACATTGCACCGAGGGGGAAGGGGGGAGGGAAGATGCCTCAATTTGACGAGCTATTGCGTTAGTGTCCAAAGAGTTTTGACCAGGGTTGTCTGAAAACCCCATCTATAGGAAAACTAGTTTTAAACATTACGAAACTTAGAGAAACGTTGTGGATTTGTAGGTATATCAATCTTAAAAAAGTTACCAGGTGTTACCTTGTAACTATTATTTTTTTTCCGAGATCGGAGGCGAATAGATGAACGGTTTCGAATGCATGCTTATTAAGTATCCTCAACGTACTCAAGGGCACTGAAGAAACTGTGAAGGATTACAGCAAAAAGCATAGTGGAGCAGAGTGGGCTTAGGTTTGAAATGGCAAGTACAAAACATTTCCAAATTATCTAAATGAAAATGGTTACGCATATTTACAAGCAGAGAAAAGTGGGCTTCTAAGTGAAAACAATCGCAAGTTGCGTGTACGATTCGGCGCTCGCAAAAACCTGAAACGTCCGGTTGCGAAAAATCCTCTGTTTTGGACGGATGAATCGAAGTGGCCTTTTATTTAGATGTCGTGTCCTTCGTCCAAAAATAGAACGAAACGTAAAAAAAATCACTGATATGGTGACAGAAGGGAGAAGGCGTTTCGCTTTTATTAGGTGATACTAATTAATGTTCTAAGGACTTGGCTGACGCCATCGCTTGCAGAAAAGGGGTAACATGTACTTTGTGAGAAAATGAACGGCAATTTCTTCGCTCCGTTGAATAAGGAACCATTTCCATACAGCGTTTGGTCGGGCAAGGCCGAAAAGAAACGCAAGAAGACTCTTTTTAATGGACAACGACCCAGACAAGCAAGCGTGCGAAGAAGGCCCTAGAGGATATACTGAGACTAATATGCGTCCATTATTTGCATAGAAAATTTAGATAACCAGATCAAATTGTGACGGAAGGTTTTTCCACTTTGAAACGAATTTAAGGCTCAACGGGAACTCGGTGCTTGACTCACGATAAAACTGGGGAAAACTAGACCCAAATGGCAACTCGCTTGCGGGGAAGAGCCGTCACTTCTCTCGAGGTCCGAGATCAGACCACTAACTGGCACAGCAGTAGATAAAACAGAACAAAACTTAGTTTCAACAGCGTTTATTCTTCAGCGGATCAACAGCAATACCTCGGTTACGACACGGCGAAATAATCGGCGATGTAATCGAAAAATCAGTTCAAAGCAACTTACTTATATATGATTTTTTTACAACAATTGAAGACCAAAGAATAGAACAGAAATATAAACAGAAATCACTTAGAGTTAAATGAAAACTAAATACAAATTCTATTTTTAACCTGAAATCTTTTGTTACTGTTGCTATTTTAGAAAGTAAAAGTACTGAAACAAAGACCTAGCCAGGTCAGCAAAACAGCGTGTATGTACAAAGTGTTACAATATGAATTAAATTGCAAGTCCAGCTATCGACTGTTTAAACAGGAAAAGCGCAGACTAATTGGACGTTTTCACCTTAAACAAAAACCGATCTTTTTTTAAAATTACAAGACAGCAAAACCTTTCATATCCAAAATTCGGTTATCACCTCTCTTTGACTTACAACTTAATGAAATATACTTTTGCAAATAAATATAACTAAGTTGCAATTAGAACGAGGTACACCTGTATCAAAGGCGTTACTATTAATAGATGTCGTCTGGTAGTTAAATCACGAAAAATAGACTAAAGTCAAATAAACCATTATTAAGAAATTAAGTATTCTTTCAAGAGTCAACATTGACATAAAATGTATATAATTGAAAAGAGAACGCGCAATTAGTCTTGTTTGTTAAGGAACACTGTTGGCTTTTCTATGATTATTACCTAGCGAACACAAAGCAAATGAAAGAAAGGATAATAAGAATGGCACGAGCCCTTTTGGGGTGGAGCTAAAACCTCTTTATGCAAATTCAGTATGAATTACTAAAACATCGTCAAAGCGAATATTTGAAAGCCATATATGAAACTCGAGGCAAACAAAGAATTCATGGAAAATCTCTCCTTACATTCCTCTTACCTTAAAAAATTTCGACGTCCTCGTCGAAGAAAACTGAACTATAGGTACGTAAAGCTTCTAGGACGAAAAGGGCACGGGACAAGAATAGCTTCGATTTGGTAACTGATAATAGAACTAGGAACTTTGATCTGACTCTGATCTGTCACCAATTGCTGGTAAACTTCGTTTCCCTAAGGCATATCTTTATGGCACAACGTACTTGAAATTAGCTTGACTAAACTGTACTGAAACATATGAGTCTCATGACAATTGCAATTCCTATGATGAATCTCTTCGTGTTTCGTCTACGAACTATGTAAACTATAAGCTGATTACTTTGAACGGTATTTTGCTACACAAATAGCTAACACCAATCTATCTGGGCTAAAATAAAGTTTCTTGGGTGTGACGGTGGCTGTTTCATAACTTACGAATAGGCGTTCGTTGGAGGTATCCGAGGAGTCATCTGAACTTTGTAAACGTTGTGGTCAGGCACCGTTGCGTGCAATGCAGTCAGTAAGTATAAAGCGATACAGAGCGTGGTCAAATGGGATTGACGGATCAATAAACGAGAAACATTCGTCTTTCCACTATGGCGAGTTGCGGGAATCTGCTGGGCAAGGCAGCAACTTTCTTGGGGCACATTTGTGTCGTCAGATCGGGTGGATGGGAAGAATAACGTTTCTATGAAAGCTGGGGGTAGGGCACGTTTTCTAGAGGTCCTGCTTTGCTTAATAGGAGTTTTCTTCGTGGCAGAATGTTCCTCAGTGAATTCCTTACGACGTGTTGGCTGGACGGGGCTTTCATCGCAAGACAGGGCTTGTGCTAATTCTCTCTCTGGGTAAGGTTCATCTCTTTTGCCATCCAACTGTAAGGTACTCTCTTTTAGATTGATAATGGCTCCATTTTCTCGCAGGAAATCTCTTCCTAGAAGTGCGTCATAAGGGAGATCTTGAATCACTAGGAAAGTGCATGAGTAACTTCCATTGGCGATGTCTAAAGGGGTCGTGAACATACTAAGAACAGGCAAAGCTTCGCCACTCACTGTTTTCACATCTCCTATGTTGTCGATCTGTAGTTGGGGAAGTTGATCCTTGTAAACGTCTTGCAGGACTTTAATGCTTTGTCCATTTAATTGTGCACTGACTGTCAGATCTCTGGGCTTATTCGGTGAACTTTCTTTCGCAACGTTTTTACTACGTTGAAGCGGAGAAGACGGACGGTAAGACTGCAAACTAACTGGGACGGGACAAACGTGACTTGGTAGTACATAGGTGCGATACTCTTCTAATGAAGGATACTGCCTTGAAGCGTTTTCGTTCAGTACGTCTATAACTTTTTGCACTGGCTGAAGTGAACTATCTTGACCGTTTCTAGTGAAGTTGGAGGGGCCAGGAAACAAGGATTGCTTTACATCACTTGGAATCTCTTTAAAATGTTTGACTGAAAATGAGAGGAGCTTGTCTCTGTTGTGAACACTGTCTTCACTTTCACATTTTGGACTGTTAGCTGGCATAAGTTGCGACGCTTGGCTAAAGGCAAGGTGCTGTTTTCGTGGCGTATTCTCAGCTGCCTGGGCCTCAACAAGAGTTGGGGATTTAATTGGAAGACATGATGACTGTGGAGTGGTACCTTGTGAGACTACAACACGCGAGGAATCGGTTTGGTAAGACTGGGTACCAGGATGTCCTGTTGTTCTGGGTCTACTTGGTAGTCGCCCAAACAGCTCTAGAGCTGAGGATAAATAGGACTTGATTTCTTCTTGAATATTTTCAACATTATTTTCTGGGGTTCTTCCAGGTTCTGGAACGTGGCCAAGGTGTGGTTGAGTTTCGCGTTTGGGAGGGGGCTTCACGTACTGAAACGTTTGCTTTCTTTTGCCTCAAAAGGGTGGTGGACATCGAGGTGTTAATCTCCTATGCAAATTTTCGGACTTTCGAGACTTTTGTTTGGAGAACATGACAGCTTCACTGGAATAAATGTTGACACTTGTGTTCTGCATAATTTTGCCCTTTTTGTGCAAAGGTTTTTGTGAATCAGTAGATACTCGATTGCTTGTATTTCGCTCCAGTTCTGCAACAAAACCTTCATTGGCTAAGTGTTCATCGAGTGCTGCTAAGTTCAGTTCACGTCGATTTTGCTGTGGCAAATTGCGATAATCATGTCGTTGTTGATTATAACTGGAATACGGCTGATAATTAGATCTGCGAGCGGGATATGATTCCTGAGGAAATGGCTGTGGGCTTGAGTCTCTGCGTTCGGGGCAGTTGAATGCAAAGTGGCCAGTTTGTCCACAGGTAAAACAGCGTGGCTGTCCAACTCTTGTCCTTTGGCGAGGAATTTCTTCGCGCTAGTCTTGATTTCTTCGAGCCAAACCTCGTATACGAGCATCAAAATGTCGATCAAGGGACTAACTCTTATCCAGAAGGAGTTCTTTCAATTCAATTTCAATTTCTTCGCGCTAGTCTTGATTTCTTCGAGCCAAACCTCGTATACGAGCATCAAAATGTCGATTAAGGGACTAACTCTTATCCAGAAGGAGTTCTTTCAATTCTTGGATGTCGCTTTTAGGGCTATATGGACTCGCGAGTGCAGCAACTGAAGACTGACTATTGCCGTCTTGGTGAGCAAACCTCACTGTTGGCTCGACGGTCTGTTTCTTTAACTGGCCAATGTAAGCGTCTATTTCAGCTAAAACAGCGTGGTTCTGTTCTATGATTCCAGGCAGTTTCTTGTCTTCTGGGCCTGTTTGTGTCGGTAATTGATTCAGAGAGCTCTGGTGCACAATACGTGAGATATCTTCTTCACAACGCTGGAATAAGGATTGTTGGATTGAGTAGATAAGTCGTGCCGTATCCTCAGCTTCGGCATACGTTTTTGGCTCCTTCTTCAGTACCTCGGCCTGGATGTCGGCTCGTAATCCCTGTATCAAGTAACTTAACTTATATTCATCGCGTAGATTCAAGCAGCTGAACCTTTCATTTTAATCGGCGAGGAACTTTTCGATGGGTTCTTGCGGACCTTGGTGTCGAATAGAAAGCGCTTGTCGAAGGCGTAGAGGGCGATGTGCAGGAGCAAAGCGTTCTTGTAAAGCCTTACGTAACTCTACGTAGGACCCTTGTACTGTGCTGCACAAATTATAGTAGAAAGATTCAGCCGGTCTAGAGAGGTGAAGGGCTAACTGGATGGCCGCTTGTTTACTAGTTTCAGGAATTCTTTTATTTGCCAAATAAAGTGCGAACCGCTGCAACCATCTGTTTACATTCTCATTTTCGTAGCCATGAAATATAGTTGGCTTTATTAAGGTTGGCTCAGGAAGAACAACCTGATCCTTTATCTGGTCGCACATTCGCTTCTGTAACTCAAGCATTTGAGTTTGGAAATCTGTCAGTTCACTCGAAGCCATCGGTTGAGTACTCCAAGTGGTTTCGGTTTTCACTTGGTCTTCGTTAACAGCGGTAAACTGACCTGTGGCCTGATTCCGAGCCTCGTCCTCGCTGGCGCTTGATTCGAACGAGTCCTCGGTGAGATTGTGTCTCTCGGGGAACGATCTTCGAGGAACAAGTTTGATTAAATCGGCGGGTGAATTAATCACCAAAGGCGGTAACTGTATTTCGTTTCTTTTACGGTTCGAGGACTGTCTTGTCTTGTCCTCGGCTTCCGAATCACTGTTTTGTTCTTCTGAATGTTCAATTAAAAAAGAATTGAAATGATACGAGCGTACTTGACAAGGCGTTGGAGTGTGTATATCACGTACTTCTTCTTCAGGATGACTTGGGCACACAAAGGATTCGTCGTCGCTATCGACGCTGATATCGCGGAGATCAAAATCTGTTATTTCAGCTTCATTGGGCGTTGAAAACGCGGTTGAATGTCGGGCAGTCGGTGGAACTTGGCTTGAACTAGGCACTGGATACGTGTAACTTGAAGTCGGGTTTAGATGCACTTCTACTTCGGCGTCCCTTTCGGGACAGGAAACCCAATGGAAGGGTAACTCGGCAAATAAAGCTTCACGGTCTTCGTCGGATAAATCGGCTTGTGTTTCTTGGTCTCTAACGATAACAGGAGTGCTTTTCTTTCGGCTTCGTAAATTGTATCTGGGCAATCTCTTTGTTAAAGCTTTCTTAACTGACTTCACTGAATGCATAGGTTAAATAAATGGCTTCTACTCACAGTACTTGGGCGAGAAAACTCTGATTGTCGCTCAAAGGATTACATCCCCTACGGTTCCGAACGGTTAGGATTCACTGGGTTTTCTTGTGTTCTTCGGCGGCTGTCCAGTCGTGGGTACCTCTCTCCTCAACCAGTGTGACGGAAGGTTTTTCCACTATGAAACGAATTTAAGGCTCAACGGGAACTCGGTGCTTGACTCACGATAAAACTGGGGAAAACTAGACTCAAATGGTAACTCGCTTGCGGGGAAGAGCCGTCATTTCTCTCGAGGTCCGGGATCAGACCACTAACTGGCACAGCAGTAGATAAAACAGAACAAAACTTGGTTTCAACAGCGTTTATTCTTCAGCGGATCAACAGCAATAACTCGGGTAGGACACGGCGAAATAATCGGCGATGTAATCGAAACAGTTCAAAGCAACTTACCTATATATGACTTTTTTACAACAATTGAAGACAAAAGAATACAATAGAAATATAAACAGAAATCACTTAGAGTTAAATGAAAACTAAATACAAATTCTATTTTTAACCTGAAATCTTTTGTTACTGTTGCTATTTTAGAAAGTAAAAGTACTGAAACAAAGACCTAGCCAGGTCAGCAAAACAGCGTGTATGTACAAAGTGTTACAATATGAATTAAATTGCAAGTCCAGCTATCGACTGTTTAAACAGGAAAAGCGCAGACTAATTGGAAGTTTTCACCTTAAACAAAAACCGATCTATTTTTTAAATTACAAGACAGCAAATCCTTTCATATCCAAAATTCGGTTATCACCTCTCTTTAACTAACAACTTAATGAAATATACTTTTGCAAATAAATGTAACTAAGTTGCAATTAGAACGAGGTACACCTGTATCAAAGGCGTTTCTATGAATAGATGTCGTCTGGTAGTTAAATCACGAAAAATAGACTAAAGTCAAATAAACCATTATTAAGAAATTAAGAGCGGATGTCCGTAAATATCGACCCGAGGTATACAAAAGTGAAAAATCGAAAATTCTCAAAAAAATTCACAAAGTAGCACTAGGTAAGCTATTAACATAAATGTAATTTTTACTTCGATCCGATAATTATTTTCCACGTACGGGGGGATTATTGGCTTCGCGGCTCGCTGACCGGGTTTTCCAGGCCCGAGACCATGTGTCACAAAAAAATCGTTTTAAAATTCCAATCCATTGTAATGCGGACAACAAAGAACTTATTCAGAAGAGTACTTAATTGCACACATTCTAAGTGGTGATTTACTCAGTTTGAAGGAAAGTGTAATATTTTGGAGATTTTTCATTATTTTCAATATTTTGAACGTTTTCGTTCAATGAAAAAATGGCAAATTTCAAAGCCCAAAATCGTCGACTGGTACCTCGATTTCAGTAACGAGTCTTATACCACGTTAAAGAGCGTTATCTCTTCTTTCAAAATGTGTTTTCAAAACTACGGGCAACTTAAAAGAAAATGTTTGAGGCCAAAAAATACTAGTAGTACTTTTCTGAAATTTGAGCTTTCCAGACTCAGCGGGTCGATGCTAAAAACTCAGAAAAATGCAATAAGAAATCAGTTTGAGCAACTGTGATTTAACGTTTTCAGCTATCAGAAACCCA